CCTTCGTCGACTCCCTCGCCAAACGACAGGAGGACCTGGTCTTCGAAGTCATTGCTGATGTGTAGGTTTTCGGAATCGTAGTAACCCACCACCTCCTCTTGGGTCTGCACCATGATTATTTCTTGGTTGTGATCCCCCTGACTCGGGTTGATGGTCATAAGCGGCTGCAGCGCGATCAGCGGCGAGTGATTGTGGCCTCCGTGGATCCAATTGCCGCTTAAATCTCCACAGCCTTCAAGGATTTCTATAGGAAACATATCCAAAGGAATGGCGCCAACATCAATCTGGTGCACTTCCACCAGGTCGGTCGGCATCTCCATATCGTCGGTAGGGTTGTAGACAGAGTCCTCTGAAGCCATGGTGAAAGCTCTGCAAAGGTCTGGTACACTGACTGCAAGCGAAAAACTGCAAAGTCCAGAGAGCCAGCCGAGACAAAGGACCGAGCACCTGAGGAAAGCGCACGAGCGGCAGCTACGGAAGACGCTTCCGGGTAGTCTATACAAGGGCTTCTGGGTACTCAAAAGTTTTTTCTTGGCAAACTGCGCAGGCGTAAACTATACCCATATCCACGTGCTTACTTGGGGGTGCTCTGACCTTCTCTGCCCGCCCACAGCTACTACTGTCTTATGAATATTAATTTTGTAACCCGGCTCTCTGGGAGCCCTGGGAGCGTGGGGGGTTGCGCATTGGGCTGCTGAACGCAAAGTCAGCAGCTGGAGTTCCCAGGTGCTCTTCGGGAGACCGATAGGCTGTCTGCTCCCGTAAAGATTTATAGCCAATTACGCCACCGCACACGCCCATCACCAACCAGGTTCTGGACTGAATTTTTGTTCTCTCATTTCAGTTTTGTATATTATTCTCTGCCCAAGGTATATAACAGTATTGTTATAGGGTTTCCAAGGAGCAACTGGTGAGTTTGAACCACCGACTTATCAACTTAATTCAAAACCAAAATTGTGGAGTTACCTTTAAAATAATTATAATGAAAGAACCTGATTGGGATAATGTCAGAAGTTATACTGAAAGAAAAATTCACTGCTGCAGTCGGTTATTGTGAAATAAAATTTGAAAATAAATTAATTAAACATTCAGTTTAAGTGAGAAAAGGACTAAAAGACTAAAGGAATAAGTAGTTATAAAGATGTAGACATAAATAATAAATTTAAAAAATAAAAATAGAACTGTTAAATCTAAGAATTAGTTCTTTCAGAAAAAGGAGTAGTTGAAAAAAGGGAAAAAGAATCTATAGACAGGATTAAGTCAGGTTAGAGGATGACAAAACAATTGTAGAGAATACTTGGTTTGTCTTTGGAAAAAAATTTTTTGAACCAGGAGCTCTGGTAGCGTAGTGGTTACGAATGGGGCTGTGAACTGCCAGCTGTTCTGCGGGAGAAAGATGAGGCGTTCTGCTCCAGTAAAGATTTACAGTCTTAACAACACTTAACAACAAAAGAGCTCTGACAGTGCAGTGGATTACATGCTGGGCTACTAACCACAAGGTCAGCAATTCAAAGTTACCACATGTTCCATGGGAGAAAGAGGAGGCTTTCTGCTCCCATAAAGATTTACAGCCTTGGAAGCCCTATAGAGGGTTGCTATGAGTCAGAATCGACTCCACAGCACATAACCACCAAGTCTGATTAAGATAAATTTCTGAATTTTCAGGTAGTTTGTCCTTGGGGTCTAACTTTAGAGGATTTATTGAGGCTTTTTCTTTGTGGATTAATAAATGGTCAGTTTGGGTAAGTTCCGTAAGTATTGGAGAAGACGTTGTCTTCTGTGTTCAGGGTATATAATTTGACATATCTAATTCAAGGTCGGTTTTGAACTACAAGGTTGGTGGTTCAAATCCACCAGCCGCTCCTAGGAAACCCTATACAGGGTCACTATGAGTCAGAGCTGACTTACCAGCAAAAAAATTGATCTTTACATTACTAATTAGAACTTTTAGGAGTCCTGGTAACATAATGGGTTATGAATTGGGCTGCTAACAGCAAGGTCAGTTCAAATCTACCAGCTGTTCCATGGGAGAACGATGAGGCATTCCTGTTCCCATAAATATTTACAGCCTCAGAAATCCTATACAGGGTTACTATGAGTCGGAACCGACTCGACACACAACTACCACCACCAATTATACCTTCTGTAGCCTGAATTCTTCAAACTCACTTGTTATCTTGTTGAGAGAGGAGTCTCCTTTATTACATTTCTGTTTCTCCTTTTACTTTGCCTAGTTTTGTAAGTTTTGATGATTTGTTATTTTCATTGTGGGTTATAATTATTATTAAGTAGCCCCTCATGTCTAATTAATTGAATGCTTTGTGGCACTGTATGATAATGTGCTGGACCGCCAGGTCGGTCTGAACTACAAGGTCAGCGGTACAACTCACCAGCCGCTCCTTGGAAACCCTTTACAGGGTTGTTATAAGTCGGAACCGACTTGATGGCACTTAACAGCAGTAAGTCGTATTTTCTGTTCACATCTGCTTGGTAAATTCTGCTCATTTTACTTTCAATCTTTGTGAATAGTTTTTTTAATCAATTTCTTTTACATATCACAAGTTTTATATAATTCAAACTAAGAGTATTTTTAACAGGCAAGTTTATTCCATTTACCCTGGCAAAATAAATGTGTTCTGATCTTGTTTATTTATCTTATTTTATTAAGTCTGTTTTCTTTAGTATGTGTGTTTTAGGCTTTCACTACAATAGCTTGAAAGGTTTATCAGATGGTTTTAGATATTACAGTGTTAACACTTACAATTTTAATGATAAGACTCAAATCTCCATTTCTTGATTTATCAACTTCAGATAAAATTTTTCTCTCCACAATGCTGTTAAGTGCCTTTGAGTTAGTTCTGATTCATAGCGAACCTATATTGTGTTTCCAAGGCTTCAAATCTTCAAAAGCCTCATCTTTTTTTCAAGGAGCTTGTTATTCTTCAAGGTAGCATAATATTCCATTGTGTGTATGTACCAGTTTGTTTATCCATTCTTCAGTTGATGGGCATTTTGGTTGTCTCCCATCTTTTTGCTATTGTAAATAGTGCTGCTATGAACATGTGCATATATCTACTCGTGTTATGGCTCATATTTCTTGTGGGTAAATACCAAGCAGAGAAATTGCTGGATTATAAGGTATTTCTATTTCCAACCTTCCGACAAAGTGCCATATTGCTTTCCAGAGAGGTTGAACCATTTTGCAATCCCACCAGCAATGTAGGAGTGTCCCAGTCTCTCCACATCCTCACCAGCATTTATTGTCCTCTACTTTTTTGATCTTTGCTGTTATTGCTGGTGTGAGATGATATCTCATTGTTGTTTTGATTTGCATCTCTCTAATGGCTAGTGATCGTGAAATTTCTTCATATGTTTGTTGGCTGCTTGGATCTCCTCCTTGGTGAAGTGTCTGTTCATGTCCTGTGCCCATTTTTTAATTGGGTTATTTGTCTTTTTCTTGTAGAGGTGTTGTAGTTTCCTATACATTTTAGAAATAAGTACCTTGTCTGGTGTGTCCTTGCAAAAAATTTTTCCCATTCTGTGTGTTCCCATTTTACTCTTCTGGTGAAGTCTTTTGATGCACATAAGTTTTTAATTTTTAGTATGTCCCAATCATCAATTTTGTCTACTTTTGTTTGTGTAGTTTTGAAAATGTTTGGTAGTCTGTGTATTCCCTGAATTAGTGCCCTCACGTTTGTCCTGATTTTTTCATTGATGGCCTTCATAATTCTGGGATTCACATTTAGGTCCTTAATCCATGTTGGGTTGGTTTTTGTAAGGTGTGAGGTAAAGGACTTGTTTCAGTCTTTTGCACATCACTTTCCAGTTCTGCCAGCACCATCTGTTGAAGAGACTATCCCCTCCTCTCTCATTCTTTCTTTTTTTTTTTTTTTTAGGGTTGGAAGCTGACTTTTAATAAGAAAGCACATTGGGGATAGGCCAGAAGGGGTGGAGCTGGACTGTCTGGTGTGGGGCGGCAGTGGTGCTGGGAAGGTCAGGATGGCTACACCAACTGCTGCTGCTGCTGCTGCTTCTAGGTGGGTGCCTTGTTGGCAAGGTCCTGAGTCTTTTCTGTAGCTGCCAGTGCCGTCTCCTTTGCCTTTTCCTTGGCTTCCTTGGCAGTTTCAACAAGTGTTTTAGAAGGGGCCTCACTTTGCAGCTTGGCCAAAATATATTCAAACCCCTTCATAGTCTTGGTCACATTGCTTTTAAACCAGGCCAGACCAAATTCCTGGACAGCTCTGGAGATGCCAACAAGCTTGAGGAGGCCCAGGCTTCCCAGTGAATTTCGATCTAGCAGCAGTTATCCGTTCACACAGTAAACGCAACATTCCTCCACCCAGCCATCAGCTGGGCATGGTTGATGTTCCAAGTGAAGGTGGTCATGGTCTGATTTTGTGGGGACACAATAGAGTCCTCCAGGATGTACACCGAGTGAGCAACATTGGCAGGAAACAGTCGCTCGGCCCAGCAGGGCATCCTGTTGGTCCTGGTCAGGAGTCGCCTGGACAGGAGCTTCTGGTCAGGGGTCACCTCCCGGTGTACTATGTCCTCTGTCAAGTCGTTTGCTGTAAGGGTTCGGATACTGCTGCCAGAAGGCGGCGAACACTTGGTCCCAGGAACTCTGGAGCACGCTCTGGCCCAGGAAATACTTCACCATTGTCCTAGCCAGTGTGGGCTCAGCACTCGCGCAGCATTAGGGGTGCGGAGCCCGGGGGCACGTGGAGGCCCAGGATCGCAGCGCGTCCAAGCAGCCACTGCGGCCATGAGGAGTAGTCAGGGCACACCTCTCAGTCTTTCTTATACTTGTATTGTTTTTAGTAGGTTAGGTCTTAGAGAAGAAAATGGAATATAAGTTTCTTATCCAGCTTTTTTTGACTGGTAGTCTTCTAAATTGAATTCATTGAGCAATAGATAACATGTTGAAATTTGTGTGCTTCCCATAAAACATTAATAATATACAGATAAATATTTTTTTAAAAAAATTTTAAGTCTGTTACCTGCGCAAAATATCCTTAGCTGCTGGACTGGTGATATAAGTTGCAAATGAGTGGTGAACAGATCAACAAATGCTCCAGGATAAATAATGAAGAGAAAAATCCCAAAGCCATTAAATCGGACTTGTTCCCTAAGAAATCACATAAGAAAAATGAACTTACTAATGCTATTACATTTGCCAAATTAATAATGTAGATAATCTTAAGACTTCTTATTATAATTCAATTTCTATCATAAATAACAAAAACTCTTTCTGGATATCCTTCCCTCCCAATTATACTTCTGCATAATCGCAATTTTATAATAGTAAACAGATTTCCTTATCTGTGAAATTGAATTCTATAAAACAAGGCATTTCAAATAGACCTACAACTTCAAAACTTTTAGAAATCAATATGCTGAACAAATACACTTGAAAACTAATCACATATATAAAGGGGTGATAAATATTTCTATAAGAAACTATGAAAAATGTTGATGGCTTACTCTAATTATTTTCAGAGGACACAGTATAATATATAGTTCAAGAAAATTACCTAGATATGTACAGTACCTTACCAAGAGCCAAACCCAACCCACTGCCATCGAGTTGATTCCACCTCAGACTGACCTCACATGAGCAAGTAGAACTGCTTCTTAGGGTTTCTGAAACAAAATCTTTACAAGACCAGAGAGCCTCATCATTTCCCCCTTGGTGCAAATGGTGGGTCTGAACCACCAACCGTGCAGTTAGCAGCCCAATGTTTAAACAAACATGCCACCAGGCCTCTGTAGCTATTATAAATAATGGGGGAGGTTTATCTAAGTATATTCCTACTGAGCGAACACTAAAATAAGTGCATTAAAAATCCATAATGCTTAGATTCTCCTTAAGAGATTAAAAACAATTCATTAATAGTGTCATATCAATTCATTCTCTAAAAATAGTTTCATAAATAAGACCAAATAGCTACTCAAAAAAAGTATCTCTATAATATACTGTGCTGTCACTTCATAGTAAATATGTAAGACAATTATAAAATTAACTTTTCTTGGCAGTTGGGATTTCATAAAAAATTAACTAGATTATTTCACAAACATATTCTGAATAAAGCCAAGGTGAAAAGAATTTTTTAAAAAAGGAGATGCCCACTTAAACCACGACTGCACACACCTGTTTAGCAATATATGTTCTGTCAAGATTAGGAATTATTGCTAGTCAATAGAGTCTTGTTCATAAGCAACTGGAACGTGATTAAATGTTCTCCTTTAAAACAGCTGTTTTTAACCTTTTAACTGCTCCACACACCCGAAGGATAGAACACATTCCTAGCATTACACTTGCTCATTATGGCAGTAGTTATTACTGGAGGCCAAGGGAGTTGGGATTCAACCTTTCCCTCATAACTAATTTAGATTTAAATACTCAGGTACAACTACAGTTTGAGGTAGTCAAGACCAAGGACACGATACTCTGAAGCAAGTTCCAAGTTTCCTCCTCCTCTTATCTTTTATTTGGATTTCTAGTTCAGCCATGACATGTGTTGACAAATCAGGACTTTCAACTGTCTAGCTGTGGCCAGGCAAGGGAATGAGCAGAAGCAGAAAAGCATTTCAGTTGATCAGCCAAAGAGAATATTCCGAAGGCTGGGGGGTGGGCTTTGAGTACAGTGGCTATCATTCTGACCCAATGATAAAGTTTTAGGATTAGATGAAAATTTAGGAAGCACCACGAGATTACAACCATGCTGGCAAAAGGCAAAGAATAGAACGTCCCAGATTATAGATGATGCACGTAGTTACTGAACATATTCAAGATATGGAGTTAGAAAACCAAAAGGGAAGAACATGCTCAGTATTTTTCAAACTGGAAGAACTGAAGAAAAAATTCAAGCCTTGACTTGAAATATTGAAGGACTCTATGGGCAAAATGTTTAATGATGCAGAAAGCATCAACAGAAGATGGAAAGCATACACTGAGTCACTATACTTAAAAGAAATGGTTGATGTTCAACCATTTCAAGAGGTAGTGTATCACCGAGATCCAATGGTACTAAAAGAAGAAATTCAAGATGAATTGAAGGCACTGGCAAAAACCAAGGCTGCAGGAAATGACAGAATGCAAATTGAAATCTTTTGACAAACTGATGCTGTGCTGGATACACTCACTCATCTATGTCAAGCAATTTGGAAGACAGCTACCTGGCCAACTGATGAGAGGAAATCCATACTTGTGCCTATTCCAAAGAGAGATAACATAACAGAATGCAGAAATCAGTGAAAAATATCATTAATATCACATGCAAGTAAAATTTGCTGAAGAGAATTCAAAAATGGTTGCAACAGTACATCTACAGGGAACTGCCAGAAATTCAAATGAGATTCAGAAGATGATGTGGAACTAGGGATATCATTGATGACATCAGGTGGTTCTTGGCTGAAAACACCAGAAAAATGTTTACTTGTGTTTTATTGACCATGCAAGGGCTTTTGACTATGTGGATCATGACAAACTATGGATAGCATTGTGAAGAATGGGTATTCTAGAACACTTAATTGTGCTTATGATAAATATGTACATAGCCCAACTTGTTAGAAGAGAGCAAGTGGGTACTGAATGGTTTAAAATCTGGAAAGTTGTGTGCCAGGGTTATATCTTTTCACCATACTCATTCAATCTGCATGCTAAGTAAATAATCTGAGAAACTGGATTATATGAAGAAGAACATGACATTGGGATTAGAGGAAGAATCATTAACAACCTGTGATATGCAGATGATACACTTTTGCTTGATGAAAGTGAAGAGAACTTAAAAGTTCTTACTGATGAAAATGAGAGACCACAGCCTTCAGTATAAATTTCACCTCAATGTGACGAAAACAAAATCCTCACAACTGGACCAATAAATAACATCATAATAAATGGAGAAAAGATTGACATTGTCAAAGACTTCATTTTTCTTGGATCTACTTACTACCAATACTCATGGAAACAGCAGTCAAAAAAAATCAAAGGACATATTGCATTACAAATCTGGTGCAAAAAAGCTCTTCGAAGTGTTAAAGAGCAAAGATGTTACTTTGAGGAGTAAAATGCCTGCCTCAGGTTATGGCATTTTCAGGGCAATGAATTGTGGTATTGTAGAAGAATATTGAAAGTACCATGGACTACAGGAAGAACAAACAAATCTACGTTAGAAGGAGTATAGCCTGAGTACTCAGAATGGTGAAATTTCATCTTTCATACGTCAGACATGTTATCAGGAGGGAACAGTCCCTAGAGAAAGACATCATATTTGGTAAAGTGGAGGGTCAGCAAAAAAGAGGAAGACCTCCAATGCGCTGGACTGACACAGGCAGCAGCAAGGCTCAACTATAACAACTGTGAGGATGGCACAGGACTGGGCAGTGTTTCATTCTGCAGAGGGTTGCTATGAGTCAGAACTGACTTGATGGCACCTAACAACTGAACATAATCATTAACATATTAATTTTCTCTATAAAAGATAAGGTATATCAAAGTAACAGTGGTTTATATGCAATGGGCAGTCTACACAAAGGAAAAATACTGACAGCAAATGTAGTATCAAATGCACCAAATCTCAGTAATCAATCCTCTTAAACGAAAAGTTTCTTTCATGTGGTAGAAAGACAAAGGGAAATATCATTACCTAATAGCTGCTATCCCATGTCCAATTTCATGTACAACACCACTAATGAGGACTGCAGCGAAGAAATAGGTCAGTTGGTTGACGGGTAAATTTATACCAGGAACCTGTTTAGAGACACAATAATAAATACACACTTGAACACCAAGAGATTACAATGCTCACTCTGTATTAAGGCATAAACCTCCAAGTTGAATGTTCTAGAAATATCAGTGGTTCAGCTCTCAAATTCTAATATAATAAAAAGCACAAATGAGAAGTTTTTGAAGGAGGAAGGCAGAATGGGAAATACCAGGTTAAAAAGTTGAACTCATTCCTGGGCAGGCAAAGTGCAGTGCCCAGGAATGAGGAGTGACAGTGAAAGGGTCAGCAGCTGATCTGTCTTCAAGGGTTGGATGCCAGATTTGAAGATTCTTATTCAAAATTCCTCATCCTTCCTTTGAATTGTTACTGCAAGATTCCAAGTACCTATGCTAAATAATGCAGGATGCTCCCTGGCTCAACCAATGAGTTTCAGTGTAATATTCTCAAGTTACACTCATATTTGAGTTGGTAATTAAAACGAAGACAATCAAATGCCTTACTGATGTAGGAGCATCATGTTCTCAATTTCTTCTGTTTCATTAGTTTGTCTGTTAATCAGAAAAAGAGTATCAAGGAGCTACATAAACATCATATTGAAATCGGAATTTCAGGCTTGAAAGTAACACAGACATGTGAAGAATGTCTGAAGTGGTGTTGCTTTGTAATCACGTGCTCCTAAAATGTTGTGCATTAATATAACATTACATACCCAAGGGAAGTTTGCTACTCTAAGGGCTGCACTGTATTTTTCCCCCCTGGGGGCAAAGGTAATAGCCAAAAATCCTTCTGCAAGATAGACACTCACTCCTGAATTATGTCAACTTTTAAACAGAGATTCAAACAAGAGTAAACCAGGTATCTTGAATCCAAATTACATCTATTCCAAGGAATTGGGACCCAAAAGGTATCTTATCCTTCTGGAGCAAATTCCTTCCTTCTTCTATTAATCATGGTTACTTTATTATAAAATACATTTAATGCAGGAAAACTGGAATACTCAAAAGAAAACTAAAAGTCTATAACCCTGCTCCCAAAGCACAAAACAAAAACCTTGTCAGTGTTTTCCTGTATGTCCTTCTAGTCTTTTCGTGTACACAGTTGTGCTGTCAAAAGGCCCAGTGGGTGAGCGGGGGCAGTGTGCTCAGTCCTTTGTGGTATACTGTGCTTCTTTCTTAGGATTTGGCAGCAGCTCTCTGTAAGTCTTTTCTGATTTTATAGGAAGTGAGGCCTTAAAGCCCACCCGTTTGGAGCATGCTCTTCAGTACCCCAGCGGGTCCTTGCAGCATCAAAAGTGGGAGGACAGGCAAGGGGCTGGGATGGAGCCCAGCCTAGCCTCACTTTTGACCATTTGCAGTTTTTTGTAAGTTGTCTATTCAAGACTTAGCTAGTTTTTCCCACTACAGTGTTAACCGTTTTCTTGCTGATCAGTCCTCTGTAATGCATGCTGTTGTTGTTGTTAAGTGCCATCAAGTCAGTTCCGACCCATAGTGACCCTGTACAGGGCTTCCGAGGCTATAAATCTTTACGGGAGCAGAACGCCTCAACTTTCTCCGGCGGAGCAGCTGGTAGTTTCCAACTGCTGACCTTGTGGTTCACAGCCTGATTGATATTATCCACTTTGTTTGTCTTTTACTTTTATTGTGCTTTTGTTTACTTTTTTGATATATAAAATTTTGTATATATTCAAATCTATCAATTTTCATGGTTTCTGCCCTCATGGTTTCTATATGCGGGGGCTTCAAAAAGTTCATGGAAAAAATGGAATCTAAGATTTTGGGATTTATCTATGAACTTTTTGACAGTAACCTGATTTTGTGTCTTTTTTTTTACTTTAAAGCTCTTTTATGATTTCATGCTTCATATCTAATTCAGTTGGAATTTATTTTTGTGCAGAACAGAGGACTTGTTAACCCTCTTTTAGAAACTGATGAGACTGTTCAAATAATGCTCAGATCACTTTCCAAATTCCATTCATTCCAAGTGCCCTTTCCTGGGTTATAAAATTAGTTTTAATCATCATTTTTAATGTATGCATAGCATTGACAATTCCATCATTTATTTAACCATTTTTCACTTAGCAGACACTTTGGTTGCTTCTAACACTTCATAATCATAAATAACGTTAGCACAAAGAGTTGGGTCCAACAATAAGGACATTTTTATGATGCTCATTATCTTAAATTCTCTTTGACCCCAAACCCTACTAGGCTCCTTTTCTCAGACACATCAGTGTCCCTTAGTCTACGTCCCTGCTACACTTTCATGTTGTTAGTGGCCTGCCTGTCTGCCTTTTGCACTTACTAAATTTCCTTTACTTGGATTGCTCTCTGTTCATGTACTTAAGGTTGATTTTCAGTAAACTTTCACCCAAGCCACAATAAAATGTTAAAAAAAAGATTAATTTTTATACAGTTTGTCCTATATATTACAAAGTTTCCTGGTTATGTTACCTTTAATTAAAACAAGCCAGTAAGCTTGATTTAACAGGGCACTGGTCTCCTGTCTTTTATAATTTTATGGCTATAATAATGAGATCAGGTAAGGTCTTGAGTAAGGGACTACACTAACAGATGGTAGACTTACTTGTTTGCTGGCAACAGTACTGGGTGGCTCATCTGTTCCTGTCATGATCACACAGGGTATTAGATGTACCAGACACTGATCTCTCAGTAACACAGAGTGCCAGGTTTGGGGGGATTAATACAGAACAAGATGGTAGGGAATTATAAAGCAAACAGAAAGAATAGTCTTTAAGCTTCAAAAGCTCATAATCAAAGTCATTACAAACTTACACTGATACATAAAAATACACGGTGGGCCACAGAGGGCATTTGACTTCTTTTTAAAAAAATAATATTGTGGTAAAATTTAAAACCTACTGCCACCGAGTCAATTCCTACTCATAACAACCCCACAGGACAGAGCAGAACTGCTCCATAGGGTTCCTGAGACCACAGATCATTATGAGAGCAGTCTAACCTCATCTTTCTCCCTCAGAGTGACGGGTGGGTTTGAATTGCAGACCTTGCAGTTAACAGCCCAGTACTTAACTCAATGCATCACCAGCATGGGTAAAATATACACAGCAAAAATTTGCCATTTTACAGAGATGAGGACATGGAAAGAGAGAGAAGCTGAGGACTCTGGACTCACGGAAAGGGAAAGACTGAGTGCTGGCAGCCAGGAGGCAGGCTTGCAGAATGTGCCCTTTGGTTGTTTAAATTATTATACATTCCTGAGTGTTTGGGAGTACACCCCACAAAAAACAGAGGGAATGGAAGCAAGTACTGTTGAATGATGATGCACGGAGGAGATTGTAATCATTGCAATGAAAGGATGAGTGTAAAACCGATGTTCTCCCATGTAAACTATCATTCAATTCACAATGAAAACTTTTTTTAAATTGCCATTTTAACCATCTGTAATTGTACAGTTTAATGACATTAATTACATGTTGTACAACCATCACCCCTATCCATTTTCCAGGTTTTTCATGACCTCATACAGAAACTCAACATTCCTTCAGCAATAACTCTCCATTCTCTCCCTGCTGAATTCTTACTGATTATCAGAGTACACCTCTCCACATAAAGATAGTGTTTTTGTGAACTATCTGAATAAAATGAGAAGCAAACTACAGAAATAATTTCTTCTTAAAACAAGGAACATTTTGTCATCCTAATCCTATCATAGGGGTCCTAGTGTGGTGCTCTAGGATAAACAGTGGAATGCTAACCACAAGGTCGGTGGTTCAAACCTCCCAGCTGCTCCTCTGAAACCTTATACAAGGTTACTATGAGTCGTCGGAACCCACTTGACAGCTCTTAAAAACAACAATCCTAGCAAACAGGCCAATGATCATATTTCCTCCAAAACGGCTTCTTTTGTATTCTCTTTCTTTATGAACTATAACCGACCCGTATCCTGAGAACCATCTACACTCATAATCCTTTAGCCTCATGTTCAATGAATTACCAAAGTTTGAGAACTGTATTTTATTTATTTATTTTTTTTAATTAAATGTTTTTATTTTGGATTGAGTGAAAGTTTACAGGGCACATCATCAGCTTCACATTCATCCATTCATATAGCTTGTTTCATTACATTGATTATAATCCCCTCCATATATCATCAGTTAACAGTGTTTCTCTCTATCCTCTTTAGCTTTTTTTTTTTTTTGGGGGGGGGGGGGCTTGCCTTTTTGGAATTTACAGTCCAAAACCTTTTAGGGAAGGTTTTTACATTTGTCTGTGGATATCCAGGGCTCATGTATGAGATTACTAACAAGCATTACTGAATAATCAGATGAGGGACAGTTTGCTATGTCTACTAGGTGGCTAAAGCCTGATCCTCAGAGCCTCTGGTTTGGACGGTCAACAACGCTTGGGCCCACAGGGTCTTGACCTCCTGACCGGGTCTGCACAGTCTGCATCAGATTCCCCCTTATTTATTGTTTGTTTAAGGGACGCTGCCTGTCTTAGGCGGTCAGTGCGAATTCCTCAGTCTTACCCGTCATTGAAACTCACTGCAGCATGGCAATGGCTCTGTCTTAAGTTGCCGAGGTTCCACGTGATCCTTACCCGTCTCTGGCCACACGTCCAGCATAAACAGCCGGAGAACTGTATTTTAGGAGAACTGTATTTTAAAAGACCACTTAAATTCATTCCCTTCATTCTCCTTGCCACAAATCTAGCTTAGGTCTTTAACCTTTCTAACATGAGAAATTGCTCCAACTGCTCTATTAAATATAGAGCCCTGGTAGCACAGTGGGTGAGGCACGGGCAGGGCTGCTAACCGCAAGGTCAGCACTTCGTATCTATCAGCCATTCCACGGGAGAAAAATGAGGCTTTAGGCTCCAGGAAGGATTTACAGCCTCAGAAACCTTATGTTGTTGTTGTTAAATGCCAATGAGTCAGTTCCGACCCATAATGACCCTGTATAAGGTTTTCGAGAAGCAGCTGGTAAGCTTGAACCGCCAACCTTGCAATTCAAAATGACCAGTGCCTTACGTCACAGCCACAC